CGAGTGCCAGACCACCCTGGTGCCCTCCCCTCCCATCCACTTCCCCCTGGCCACCTATGCCCCTGTCATCTCTGCAGAGAAGGCCTATCACGAGCAGCTGTCCGTGGCCGAGATCACCAACTCCTGCTTTGAGCCAGCCAACCAGATGGTGAAGTGTGACCCTCGCCACGGCAAGTACATGGCCTGCTGCCTGCTGTACCGCGGGGATGTGGTGCCCAAGGATGTCAACGCCGCCATCGCCACCATCAAGACCAAGCGCAGCATCCAGTTTGTGGACTGGTGCCCCACGGGCTTCAAGGTGGGCATCAACTACCAGCCGCCCACAGTGGTGCCGGGGGGGGACCTGGCCAAGGTGCAGCGCGCCGTCTGCATGCTGAGCAACACCACGGCCATCGCCGAGGCCTGGGCTCGCCTGGACCACAAGTTTGACCTGATGTATGCCAAGCGAGCCTTCGTGCACTGGTACGTGGGCGAGGGCATGGAGGAAGGGGAGTTCTCCGAGGCGCGGGAAGACATGGCCGCTCTGGAGAAGGATTACGAGGAGGTGGGCCTGGACTCCTACGAGGATGAAGAGGAGGGCGAGGAGTAGAGAAGCCCTGGCCAAAAAGGACCATGCTCCTTCCCCGTGTTACCTGCAGAAACCCTTTGCAATAAACCATTTCAGAGCCTCCGTGTCTCCCACTAAGCCCCGAGCTGTATCGGTTTCTTGCCAGGTCAGGTGTGTGGTGAGTGCTTCAGCTCTGCTGCTGGTGCTGCTATGCTTCCTCCCAGCGCTCTGCTCCAGCTCCAGCTTGCTCCCTGTGCAGGTAAGAGTCCCTGGGTCCATGGCACACATCCCACCCTGCTCTCTGCTCCAGCCAGGGTTTGCTACTGCTTCCTCATGTGGTATGCCCCATGGTATATGGCCCTGCGTTGTATCCTGGAGTCCAGTGGAGCAGATTTAGCCTGAGCAGAAAAAAATCTGCAGCTGCTGGGTTTTGTCCCCACATTCAGCCCAAGGGTAGGTGGGCTCGTCTGCACAGAGAGTGGTGGAAGCAGGGGGAGCAGCTCGGTACCCCTGTTCCTGTGGCCACGGTGCGGGGGCAAGAGGCATGCCCAGCTCTGCGATGCAGTGGGTGCACCCTGCAAGGGCATCCAGTGCGGCATGAATCCCTGCGGCTGCTTTTCTGCTGTTGTGGTGAGAGGATTAAAGGAGGGGAACGCTCCCTGGGAAACCGCTTGTCTGCATCTTTTTTTTTACCCTCCCTCTGCAGGCAGCCCAACTGCTGCGTGTCCTGGTGAGCCTCTCCAGCCATGGGTGGTTGTGCTGTCCCCAGGCTCTGCTGCCCCTGCCTCCCAAGCTCTGGCAGGTCCCCACCCTGGGCAGCCACCCCCCCCTCCCTGGGCAGCCAGGAAGTTCTGCCTGTACCCCTGGCACTGCCTGCCTGCGCTGCGCTGAGCCCCTTCCCGCAGCACCCAGCCCCAGAGGCTCTGAACAGCAGCGCCCGCTCCAGCTGCAGAGTTGCGTTAACTCCCATCAGGAGCGCGCTGGGGCCAGGGATTAACTTTCCCTGCTTACTGCTAATGCTCCAGCCGTGCCGCCCCTCCGGGGCTGTCCTCCGCTGCCCTTCCCCTCCGGCAACGCCTAGCTGCTCGACCCAGACAGCATGCCCTGCTCTCCTCGTGCCCCTGGTGGGATCCCCTCCCTGCAGACAAGGACACATCCACGCCTCTGCAAGAACATCTTTTACTCCAAACAGAAGGCAACGTTGGTGCCAACAGCAGCGGCGGAGTGGGCGCCAGGACCCCCCGCCTTGCTCCAGCACCACACAGGGACCCCGACCACAGCTCTGCCCTGGGCAGGAGCGACCCTCCTGGGGTGCAGAGCTGAGGGACCGTGGCTGCCGTCACCCGGGGGGGGTCCCACAGCATCCTCCTCTGCAAACCCCGGGGGAGGCAGCGGCCAGCGGGGGCCCAGTGTTTAGCAGCAGGTCACACGTCCACAGTCCTGGGGCACAAACCAAGTCCCAGGCAGCAGCATCCAGGGCACAGACCACTCCAAATCCAACACACCTACGGCACAGAGCAGCAGCTCTCCCCCGATGCAACGGCTCCACGGGGCAGCAGGAACGAGG